CAAGCGCAATAACATTGTCATCCCCTATGTGTCTGGGGTATCTGAAAAACTCAGGAGGATTTTCAGCAAACACCACATCCCTGTGTATTTCAAACCCAGTAACACACTCAGACAAAGACTGGTACACCCAAAAGACCGTACACCACACACTCAGAAGAGCAACCTAGTGTACGCTGTCCAATGCAGTGAGGAATGCCCAGACTTGTACATTGGTGAAACAAAACAACCACTAAACAAACGCATGGCCCAACATAGAAGGGCTAACTCGTCAGGGCAAGACTCAGCTGTCTATCTACACCTCAAGGAGAAAGTACACTCCTTCGAAGACAGCAATGTGCACATTTTGGACAGGGAAGACCGATGGTTTGAAAGAGGTGTAAAAGAAGCCATCTATGTGAAATTGGAAAAGCCATCTCTCAATAGAGGAGGAGGTCTGCGACACCACCTATCCCCCACCTATAATGCTGTCCTTTCATCCTTGCCCAGGAGGCTTAACAACTTAACCTCTAAAAACAACGGTCGTTCACAAATGGCCTCATGTGACTCTAACGACTCCAGTGACAACCGTTGCAGCAGGAGTTTCAACGACTGTCGTTGACACACCATTGGAGCACTAACGAACCAGTGACATCATTGGCCTTGTGAAGACCTCCCCAGAGGTTAAATACCTGGGTGCTTCCACACCAGTTTGTCAGACTAGTTCCAGCCTAGTCAGACAAGCATGAACTGATGAAGCCTCTTGGATAAGAGGTGAAACGTCTTCTAAGACAAAACCAAGTCCAGTTGCGTTCGATTCAATTGCCTTGAGATAACTATGACCTGGATGAATGAGAATATCCACAGGCATATTGATAAGCTCTGACAGTATGTTCTTTTACATATTTTGGTTCAATTCATTATCATCCTGCAGCCTCTCATCTGTGCTCTGTGCCGGGGCTGAACTCCTCCACATACACACACATCCACACACACCGAGTGGCTGCAGTGGAAACAAAGTAAAGACAACTCAAAAATTACTCAAGTTGACGGCAGCTACACTCATTAGCTACTGTAAGTGCAATTAAACCTTAGCAAGTAAGAAGCCAATAATTTATCAATACATGAGTTCAGCAAGCATGAGCACAGCAGGGGTTTGATATTCAATATGCTCCATCCACAGACTCTCATCCACCAACACTAACATTATGTCTTACACGAGGACAGCACCCTAGTTCGGCTAATAGCAAATTGTTACTGATAAGCTAAAACAACAGCTGTCTGTATGTAGACTCACTTAGTTTGCCACTTATCGTAACATTGGGCAGATACTTTTAAACTTAGCTGCTGGCTGAGACAAACAGCCCCTCCTCTCTCTACCAGCACTAATGTTACCTGCACACAGTGAATCATCAGCAGAGAAGGAGCAGGACAGAGGACAAGATAAGATAAGATGTACTTTATTGATCCCCCAGGGGGAAATTCAAGTATCACAAAAGATAAAATAAAATTGCTACATCAGTTAATAAAGTGACTAAAAAATGGCAGACAAAGTGTTGAATGAAATAAAGTGACAGGTGGCAGATAAAGTGTCATTGTTGGACAAATGCAAGATAGGTCCCTTCAGAGCTAGATGTAGCTTAAGCCAAACTGCTGTTGTACAGTCTGATGGCGGTGGGCACAAAGGAGCATCTGAATCGTTCAGTTCTGCACCTGGGTGGGATAATCCGCTGGCTGAATGAGCTGCCCATCAGCCACAGCTTGTCGTGCAGGGGGTCCTTCACCCTCCTCTCAGCCACTGTCTCCAGACTGTCCAGGTCCAGTCCCACCACAGAGCGGGCTTTCCTCTCAAGCTTGTTGAGCCTGTTGACCTCACCAGTCTTAACTCCACCCCACCAGCACACTACATCAAAGAAGAGTGCACTGGCAACCATAGACTGGTAGAAGGTCTTGAGTAGCCCACTACAGACGCCAAACGATGTGAGTCTCCTCAGGAAGAACATCCTGCTCTGTCCTTTCCTATAGAGGGCATCTGTGTTATGAGTCCAGTCCAGTTTATTGTTGATGTGGACCCCAAGGTACTTGCAGGAGTCCATCATCTCCACCTCCTCGCCCTGGATGATGACTGAGGCAGGTTGCCTCCGGTTCCTCCGGTAGTCCACCACCACCTCCTCAGTCTTACTGATTGAGTTGAAGGTGGTTTCTGTTGCTCCACGCGACAAAGCTCTCAGTCAGTCCTCGGTACTCCTCCTTGTCATCATTGCTGATGCACCTGACTATAGAGGAGTTGTCGGAAAACTTTTGGAGGTGGCAGGAACCAGAATTGAACCGGAAATCAGAGGTGTAGAGGGTGAAGAAGAATGGTGCCAGAACAGTTCCTTGGGGCACCCCGGTCTTACTTGATATCACCTCAGATACGCAGACAGAGGACAGGAGGAAAGGAGGAATGACTTTTACTGACTACTAAAAACTAAACTTGCTCAGTATTGTGATGTCAGGAATATTATTTATATAGTGATGTTGCTGCTCTGGAAACATTAAGTTATATTCAAAATATTCAGTTTTCAATTATTCAATTATTCAGAAATGAAAATGAACTGATAATCGTACCGATAAAGTACTGAATCGAGTACCAATAAAAGTAGTAGTATCTATCTCATCACAGCAGGGCCCTGGTGCCCAACACCTCTCCACTACAGCCAGATTCCAGGATGTAGGATGCCAAACGGACCCTCCACAAACCATCTCAGTGGGCACACAGTTTGTGGCATCTCAAAAGATGGTGGTGATCAGCACACAACTGTGCAGGGCTACTCTGAGGGAGCAGCCCGAGAAGCAAAGCTACGTAACACAAATTAAATGTGTTTTTGTTTGAGATACAGTACCTGGAAATATTTTACAATACTGAAATGTTGTTAACCACAAGCTTCAGGATATATATTTCTGCAACACATTATCACATACATAAATTATGTATATATATACACACATATATATACATATATGTATATATATATATATATATATATACAGTACAGGCCAAAAGTTTGGACACACCTTCTCATTCAATGCATTTTCTTTATTTTCATGACTATTTACATTGTAGATTCTCACTGAAGGCATCAAAACTATGAATGAACACATGTGGAGTTATGTACTTAACAAAAAAAGGTGAAATAACTGAAAACATGTTTTATATTCTAGTTTCTTCAAAGTAGCCACCCTTTGCTCTGATTACTGCTTTGCACACTCTTGGCATTCTCTCCATGAGCTTCAAGAGGTAGTCACCTGAAATGGTTTCCACTTCACAGGTGTGCCTTATCAGGGTTAATTAGTGGAATTTCTTGCTTTATCAGTGGGGTTGGGACCATCAGTTGTGTTGTGCAGAAGTCAGGTTAATACACAGCCGACAGCCCTATTGGACAACTGTTAAAATTCATATTATGGCAAGAACCAATCAGCTAACTAAAGAAAAACGAGTGGCCATCATTACTTTAAGAAATGAAGGTCAGTCAGTCCGGAAAATTGCAAAAACTTTAAATGTGTCCCCAAGTGGAGTCGCAAAAACCATCAAGCGCTACAACGAAACTGGCACACATGAGGACCGACCCAGGAAAGGAAGACCAAGAGTCACCTCTGCTTCTGAGGATAAGTTCATCCGAGTCACCAGCCTCAGAAATCGCAAGTTAACAGCAGCTCAGATCAGAGACCAGATGAATGCCACACAGAGTTCTAGCAGCAGACCCATCTCTAGAACAACTGTTAAGAGGAGACTGCACCAATCAGGCCTTCATGGTCAAATAGCTGCTAGGAAACCACTGCTAAGGAGAGGCAACAAGCAGAAGAGATTTGTTTGGGCCAAGAAACACAAGGAATGGACATTAGACCAGTGGAAATCTGTGCTTTGGTCTGATGAGTCCAAATTTGAGATCTTTGGTTCCAACCGCCGTGTCTTTGTGAGACGCAGAAAAGGTGAACGGATGGATTCACATGTCTGGTTCCCACTGTGAAGCATGGAGGAGGAGGTGTGATGGTGTGGGGGTGTTTTGCTGGTGACACTGTTGGGGATTTATTCAAAATTGAAGGCACACTGAACCAGCATGGCTACCACAGCATCCTGCAGCGACATGCCATCCCATCTGGTTTGCGTTTAGTTGGACGATCATTTATTTTTCAACAGGACAATGACCCCAAACACACCTCCAGGCTGTGTAAGGGCTATTTGACCAAGAAGGAGAGTGATGGAGTGCTGCGGCAGATGACCTGGCCTCCTCAGTCACCGGACCTGAACCCAATCGAGATGGTTTGGGGTGAGCTGGACCGCAGAGTGAAGGCAAAGGGGCCAACAAGTGCTAAACACCTCTGGGAACTCCTTCAAGACTGTTGGAAAACCATTTCAGGTGACTACCTCTTGAAGCTCATGGAGAGAATGCCAAGAGTGTGCAAAGCAGTAATCAGAGCAAAGGGTGGCTATTTTGAAGAAACTAGAATATAAAACATGTTTTCAGTTATTTCACCTTTTTTTGTTAAGTACATAACTCCACATGTGTTCATTCATAGTTTTGATGCCTTCAGTGAGAATCTACAATGTAAATAGTCATGAAAATAAAGAAAACGCATTGAATGAGAAGGTGTGTCCAAACTTTTGGCCTGTACTGTATATACATATATGTGTGTATATACATATATATAGACACGCACACATATTTTCTTTCATTTGGACTTTCAGCTGTCATCAACACCTATAAAGGGCATAGGTTTCAAACCAAGTATGAGACCTCATGTTGAGTTGGAGGAGAAAGAGGGAGAAACTTAAACAGAGCTAGTAGACCCTCATGACTCAACATGTAACCCTGGCAACTCTGTTATTAGGAATCTGAGCAAAAAAAATTCTTTTAGTTTAGTTTTACCCTCAGCAAAGGCTGTAAAAACAGACCCTACATGCAGTTATTTTTTAAATAATTTTATTTGTATTACCAACATAATAACATCAGATAAAAGATCTAAAATGGTTGTGGCAACACTTATTTTTTAATAAATATTTACAAGAAAGGTGGATTCAGGGAAGCACTTAATTTAAAAACACAAGGAAATCAATATTTAAATTCAATATTTTACAGACTGTAGATGACCTCATGAGGCTTGTCTTCCCCAAAATCCCCATCCCAAAGGACCTGGCATCTCAGTATGAGACACCCCAAGAGGAGGAAGTGGTTGCCATACATGTCTCTGACTTCAGCTAAGGGGCAGCACGAGGCCAACAAAGTGACCAGCCGGATCTGGAACCTCCTAGCGTACTCGGTAGTACAAAACAGGACGGGATGGACACCTGAAGGGGGAGAGTTGGACACTATTAGTGTTGCAGATAAAACGCTGCTGTATTTATATTCATGTATCTATCTATTGTATATTATTTACAAAGTTTTTGTAGTTTTCATTTTTTACATTTGCTAAAAATAAAGTTCTTTTGACAAAAGACTTATTTGTCATTTCTTTTTAAGTGGGTTTGTTTTTTTTTTGGTATCATGAAACCTTAGTGTTCAGAATTGAGTTTACACAGTTGTATCTCATTACATGTCATAAAAACATACTCTTCTTCAGTTCTATGCCTCAAGGGTCCATAGTCATACCTGTAAATGTTGTGGATGTTCTGCAGGGTGTACAGATTCAAACAGTCAGGCTCCAGGCCCGGATAGTGTATCAAACATGCAGGATGAACTGGAACCTGGTTCATTACCCCAAAACCTAATAAGTAAAAAAGACACAAGGCATACTGCACATTGAATGTACCACTTATTTCTATTAATTTGTTTTTGTATAATAAAGAAATCTGTCATCTCAATCTGCTGTGGTAAAACTGATGAATTCACGGGTTAAAACGTTTGTCGTTTCAACAGGAAATGTGTAGAATTGGTATTACTACCCAATACAAGCTAAATTATAGCTGCTGCGCAGCAATGGTCGGGGCCAGGCAATTTTAGGTAAAATTATGCAATTCTGAGCAACACACACACTAAAACAAAGCATATCACAACATAGAAGTTACATCATATAATTATGGCATGCCCTTCAAATTGTGGATGAGTGGCTGAAGTGATCAGACTCATAATATACAAAGGAAAGAAAAAACTCAAGAACAAGAAAATAATAACATTAACTGCTAGCAAGTATGAACAAACTGGCCTGATCTAGCTTAAAGCTAAACATTATCCATGGTGACAAAGATGAAAACATTTTTTAAAATGTAAAAGTAGCTATTGGATAGACTCTGCATATTGACTGATAGCTAAGCCATATAAACAGGGAAAAGAGACAAGGGATAACAGGGAAAAGGGTTGATAAAGAGTATTTGTCTCTCTGCAAAACTGCCGGGATCATAATTATTTTAACCTTAGTAGTAAGGCTGAGGCCTTAAACGCAACACTAACCCCCACCAGTCCGATACTGACAACGAGCGCACTCAGAGCTGGCAGACATGTCCAAGAGGTCATCAGATGTGTGGTTATCATGTAATTAAAAAAGAAAAAATCTCCGACAAGGAAATAGAAAGCCCGACGCACAATGGAGACCTGCTATTATCCTGCTTGAACACAGACGACTAAATTCTTTCAACGATGTGACTCAAAATAATGATAAAATAGATTTTATTGATGTAAAATATGCATTTTCCAGTTCCACCTGTCCGCTCTGAGTCTGGACACTTCTGATGCTGCGCATTCTGAGTTGCGCATCTGTTTGATTGTGCTGCAGTGTGCGCCGAGAGTTTTAATTAATTTAGTGTTCAATCAAAAGTTAAACACTACTTATCACTGACCATTAGTGTTTTTTCGTTTGTGTATATTTTTATCTTAATTGTAGTGTTGGAAGAAACTACGTTTTTGTCATAATTTTTTTTTTAACCCCCCCCCCCTCGAATGCTTCGAATTAAATTCGTTCTGAGCTCCGAAGGTCAGCACAGTAGTCTCTAATCCACATAGCATGATGCCTGAACATAGGACTTTGACATTAGAATGTTCGTTCTGCCTTAGCTGAGGCTTGAACTCACTGAGGTCCGTCTTCTATCTCATTGAGCTAATTAGCAAGTGACAGGTCATGTGTGGCTTCACAAATTGACTAAGCCAAGCATCAGGGTGCCAGACAGTAGCCATCCATGCCATGGAAAAGCAAATTTCAAAGTGAAAGTTCCAAAGCTGTAGCACATATTGTTGATTTGTTACGAATTTTCAAAGTTTTGAAATTTAGAGGCTTGCTGTAGTGCCACCATCAGGACTATTGTCTTGTGTTTCCAGTTGAGGACATCTGGCATGGGACTGGACCTTTATGAAAAGTTTGGGTAGATTTCTCATATGGAAATGCTGCATGAGCTGAGGCTTGAACCCACAATCTTCAACACCAAGAACCATCCTCTATCTCACTGTGCTAACTGGCAAAGGTAAATGTCACATGTAGCTTCACAAACTGACTAAGCCGGTCACCGGAGGAGATAGGTTTAATAAGTTTTACAGTTTTTGAAAAAAAAAAAAACAGCAATGGACTTCATAATTTGCAATTTTAGAGGCTTGCTGTAGCGCCACCATCAGGACTATTGGCCTGTGTTTGCAGCTGAGGCAATCTGGCATGAGACTGGACCTTTATGCAAAGTTTGGTGATTTTTTGCGCATGGGAAATAGGATTTCCTCGGAAGAAGAAGAAAGAAGAAGAAGAAGAAGAACATGCAGGATAACAATAGGGTCCTGGCAGCTTAGGCTGCCCGGCCCCTAATTAGTCTGATCATAGATAAGCCTACTTAGATAAAAAATAAAGGAATTATGCTTTACACTACATCATGTAACAGCTGAGTGCTGCTGTTGGTGTTTCCACATTATGTAATAACAGGGTACATGCAGGAATCCTGAGGTTAATTTCAATACCTTTTTAAGACTTTTTAAGACCTTCCAAAAAAACCTTAAGACCTCATCGTCACTTCAAGCTGTCGTTAGCAGCAACGCATCTTTAACTTACTAAACAGTTGTAGTTTGCAATTAAATCTATGGAGCACAAACATACAACAGAACTCAGATAAGATGAGAAGGAATAAAGCTTGAAAGAATAAATTAAACCAAAGGCAGGTTTATTAAAATACAATACCTTAGGTCATAATAAGTAACAAAGCTCTACAGCAGTCGCAGATGTGTTTGCTGTCACGTCACGTTACCTGGTCGTGGCGCTGGAGGACTGCAGAAACTTGAAATGGAGAGCTGCTGCTCTCTGTAGCTAACGGCAGCCTTATGGCTAGCCCCTTGCATGTGGAATTTAAGTGCATTTATTCCCATCAAGGCTATGCTTATCTTCCTTTTTGCAGTATTTGCAATGGGCTTCCCGGTTATTACCTTCGACCGTCTTTATCCAATCTTTAAACTCTGGCATCTCCAGCCAGGAGCAGAGTCCTGCACGGGTCCAGTTTTCAAGATCCGCCCCGCCCCGCCCCACCCCGCCCCGGCGACGTACAAACCCACACCCGAACCGCAAACCCGTGCATCAGGCCAATTAGTACCGCAACCTGGTCCGACCCGTTGAAACACGACCCGCAGCCCGACCCGTAACCTGGATTTAAAGTAATCATTTTGGGTCATATTGGCTGAATATTGAACAGCATATCGCCACAGTTAAGGTGCCAGTAAGTAAACAACGACCTGAATGAAGCAGCTCTCAAGTGCAACACACACCGCCGCCGTACGTCGTGCGTCAAAACGCCTGTCTCCATTATATTCTATGAACCAACCGACACTGGCGCCAGCCGCCGCGCCACTCTGCTTCAGCCCACTGCTCTATTTCCATGGCGGCGCTGCGAGAAAAGCCTTTTATGTACAATAAAAACCTGACTTCAGCTCCATCATCAACCCTCTGTGTTCTTCTCCCATACGAGTGTAAAAGCACTCGTTTGTTACGTTTAATGCTTTTAAACTTTTAATTTATGTAAAGGAACTTTAGGCTACATGTGTAATAATAGACTTACTTTCTGTCCAGAGCGACGTTCAGCAGTTACGAGCCATCACGTGTTTTTAGAATCCATCGAGGAGAGAAGTAATCCATCAAGGAAACACTTTAGAAACATTATAAAGTGATAGTTGTACGTTTTATCCACTTATTTCTCAAATAGCTACCTAAATAATTATTTACTGTTTTGGAAGCGGCGCTTGTTAGATGGTGGCAGCCATGTTGATTCTGTCGTCCAATCACAAATTGTGTTATTAGATGGTGAAATGCGTGTAAACAGCTGAACCAATGACCGCTGCGAAATAGCAGAGGCGATCCTCAGAGAGTAAATATTAGGCTCGTTCGAGATGAACTGCGCCTCGCCTGAAAAGTAGACGAGAGCAGGCGGCCGCAGCGGGGGGGCGGTGACAAAAAGCTGCGGTGAAGTCGGACAGTTTCCCAACAGTTTCCAGCAGCCTTCAGTCCGTGCAGGAAGTCACAGACACACTTACATCCTGTCTGGAATGATGTCAATTCATTAAAAAAGTGATCAGGCCCATATATCAGTTTGTTTTCACCATCAGTCACACAAAATGTTTTCTGTTCACAGAATAAACCTTCAGGTCAGACAAATACAATCTTAATCTCTAAAATTCAACAAAAATGAGTAGTTTATCTAAAACGTCATCTTGTTGAGTCGACATCTGAACCAATCGGCTGTTAGATCAGGTGAGAGCCAGGCGGTGCAGTCGGTGGAGAGCAACTGCAGCGCCTGGCTCTAAAAACTGCGGCCGCCTCGTTCTCGCGGTTTTATCACCGTCCACTTTTGTAATACGTCAGAGCAAGTCGGGATGAAGTCGGACACAAAACTAACCGGCATGCATTGTGCGCCGATCGCCGGTGATCGAATCTGCGCTGGACTGGCTCATCTCGAATGAACCTAATGACCAAGATAGTTATCTGTAGTTTACCCAACTAATGACTGATGTGTTTATCTAAAACCCGCGATCCGACCCGCATGTTATTTTTTCCACCCAGATCCGAACCCGGGAAAAAATGTTTTTTAAAAAACCACCCGCAAATCAGCTGTTTTTGCGGGTACCCGACCCAGTGTAGGACTCTGGCCAGGAGTCAGCGAACTTGCATTTCCCCATTTTTATTGTCTTTTGCTCCTCTGTTTGGCGCCTGGACGTGCACCGTCACATGATGTCGCACAGGTACGTGCACAGCCCCGAGCGGCAGTCCGAGTGTGCCTACCTACACATCGTTGTTTGTAATAGTCGCGAGGAGGAAAATAAATTATACATTCATGGATACTTTTTGACAAAGCTTGAATGCCAAGAAAATTTAATACTTCATAAAATCGTGATTAAGATTTTTTAATACTTTTTAAGGGCCTTAATTTTCCGACATTTGATTTATCAACTTTTAATACTTTTTAAGACCCCGCGGACACCCTGAATAAGTGACTATATTGTTAGAAACCTTTTGTACACTGCAGCAGACATTTTCAACTTCATTCAGTCAGATCATGTTATCATGTTACAGCTGCAATCTAAGACAGCTACAAAATAAAAACTTACCACTGTGAAACGTCCTGCGCTAATGTTGTGTATCGGCTTGTGTTTCTTCACTTAAATTGATGAGGGCGAAAAGCCACCATTGTTAGCTTAGCCTCAGTTGTTGTTACCGACCATAGACACCTATGTTACCAGCAGCCTCCGGAGGTGAAATCAGATAAGGTAAGGGACGTGATGTTTCCGATACACGCTCTAAGCGTTGCACCAATCACAACAGACGGAGCGAGCTGACCAATCAGAGCAGACTGGGCTGCTGGGGAGGTGGGACATAAGCCCAAACACAGGTTTCAGACAGGGGTGTTGCAGAAATGGGCAGTACAAGACAAATAATGTGTGTTTTGAACATTAAATTAAATTAGAAAAGTAATGTCTTGCAGAAAGGGCACTCATGTAGTCAGAGGGCTAAAGGCCAGGTGCTTGAGCACCACTTGGGGTCTCTCTGTGCACATGCCTGGTCTTGCTCCTATGTAGGAGAGGTGGTGGGGCCTTTTGCATTTCGCCGGACCTATGCAGGCAGCTCATCACAAGGGGAAACACAGCACCATCACTTCCCGCTCCCACCCGGGAAATGCTCTGGACCTCCACCTCCCTTCCCTGCACACCCGAGGTCGTCCACTGACGCAGTTACTGGTGACAACCGTACCAGCCATCCGACCATGCTTATTGTCGGGTCCTCCATGGTCCGACACGTGCGCATCAGAGGGTGCCACACCTCCTGCCACCCAGGTGCGCTCGTTAAGGACATAAACAACTCCACCCTCCAGCTGTTACGTCATCACCAGTCTGTATCAACTGTCATTGTTCACGTCAGCACATGTGACCTTAAATTACAACAGTCAGAGAAACTTAAGGATGATTTTGTCCACCTCATAGACAGTGTCACACAAGCAAAGAAACAATGCATAATTTCTGGACCATTTCTGGCTACTAGTGCTCCAAAAACATCCCCTACGTGGACAACTTCACCACCTTCTACTACAGAGTGGATCTATTTAAACATGATCGACTCCACCCCAACTTTGCAGGTTCTTGTCTGCTATCCATGAACATTGAACTCACGCTTCGCTCCTGTGAATCACCAGGTGCATGAAGGTACAACAACCAAACCATTAACATGCTCACCATCAATCAGTAACTTCATCATTCATAAACCAGGACCCATTATTAATGCCATTCCTGTTATTTTTTATCCTGGCCGTCTAGCTAGACATAAAAACCGACCTCAGTTTCCTGTACATAAAAATCTCACTTACCCTCCTATGTCTACTGTGTCCACCCGTCCACCCCTCGATACCGCTACTGAACATGTAACACTTGAGCTTGACTCTCAAGGCTTCAAATTACGCCGTGGCCTTGGGCTGCTTCATTTAAACATCAGAAGCCTGCTCCCAAAAATGGACCATATCCAAATCCTATTACAGTCAACCTCCCCAGACGTCCTGGTTTTAACTGAATCATGGCTGTCAAATTAAATCCCAAATCAATACATTGGTATAAATGGTTACAATTCATTCAGATGTGACAGGAAAAGTAAGGGTGGTGGAGTTTTAATATATGTAAAAGAATGCCTCTCTGTCCAAAAAATCACTTCCTGTTTAGAACCAAATAAGTTTGAATATATTGTATTAAAGATCTCTCTTGGTGGAGATATTCAGGTGACCATTGTTGGCATGTATCTCCCCCCCTCAGCACACTCTGATGCCTTGGAAGATATTGCCAAACTCTGGTCACTGCATGCCTCTTCTGAGTTGACTATAATGGGTGATCTAAACCTGGACTGGCTCTCTGACAGTTCTAATAAATTAAAGGAACAGTGCCTAGAACTTAACCTCTTTCAATTAATAAACAAACCCAGACCTAATTTCAAAAACCCAAATAAATCCACATTAATAGATATTATACTCACTAACAGACCACACAAATACCCTGCCTCTGGAGTTTTGGCTCTTAATATTAGTGATCATTGTCCCATTGCCTGCATCAGAGACACCAAATTACCCAAATCTCAATCACAAATCATCACCACAAGAAATTATAAGCACTTCAATCTTCAGGAGTTTTTAAATGATTACTGGTCTCTAATATAAATAATATTTTCTCCATTACTGATCCCTCCATGGCACTGGAAATCTTTTCACAATCCTTTAACGTTACAGCTGACAGACATGCCCCTTTCAAAAAACACAGAATCAAAAACAGATACAGTCCTTGGTTTTCCCCGCAACTCTCAGATGTAATACATAGCAGAGACAAAGCCTGGTCCAAGGCTCGATCCAGTGGCACCCCTGATGACTGGTTACACTTCAGACAACAAAGAAACATCTGCATCAGCATGATCAGGAAAGCCAAATCAAATTATTATCAATCAGCTCTCTCTGCCTGCGACAGCTCCACCAAATTTTGGAACACCATAGCTTCACTTAAGAATTCTTCACAGTCACACCTCCCACCTCAAATCAAACTAGTATCTGGTCATATTACTGATAGACCATCCATAGTTGAAGCTTTTAATCACCATTTCCTCTCCTCTGGTCTTTTATTTAATATATCTGCACATCCCACTACAAACAGTTACCACGTCCGTCCAGCAGAGGAAGTCTCCAATGCCTCAGCCTCTGCTGAGGGCACATTTTCCTTTAACCTGGTCAGTAGTGTAGATGTACACAAAGCTCTCCTTAGGTTAAAATCATGCAAAAACACTGGTGCAGACAATCTTGACTCATATCTCCTCCGTCTAAGTGCCCCCTTCATCTGCTCTCATCTAGCTCATATTTTTAATCAAACCTTTTTAACAGGCAGGATTCCAGCTTCATGGAAAAGTTCCACAGTATTACCATTACACAGAAGTGGAGATGACTGCAATCTTAACAACTACCATCCAATATCTAAATTACCTCTCTTTGCGAAACTTCTTGAATCATTAGTTAATTCTCAACTACGCACCTTTATTGACTCTCTCAACCTACTACAGCCACAACAGTCTGGTTTTCGCCCGGGTCACAGCACCATAACAGCTGCAGCTTCAGTTATCGATAACATTGTCTTCTCCCTGGATAATAAACAATTTTGTGCCGCCCTCTTCATCGACCTCTCAAAAGCTTTTGATACTGTAGATCATAAAATCCTTCTCCATAAATTACAGTCCATAGGTCTCGATGAAGCCACAATTGATTGGTTCCACTCTTACCTTACAGAGAGAACTCAGACTGTGGTCGCTGATGGTACCCAGTCAAGGCAACTAGTCATCAGAAACGGGTTGCCACAGGGGTCTATCCTCGGTCCATTGTTGTTCACGTTATACATAAATAATACATAAATAATATGGTCAATGTCCATTTTTTTGCTGATGATACTATTTTATATGCTTCGGGCTCCACTCCAGCCGAGGCTCTGAGTCATCTACAGTCTGCCTTTGATGATTTTCAATAATCACTCATTAATCACAGACCAGTTTTAAAAGCAAAAAAGACCAAGTTCATGGTATTCTCTACCTTC